TAGTAGGATGTTTGGAAAGTATGCCGAAATTTCGCAAAATTCCAGATTTTTTCGTGGAATCTTCTGAGAGCTACGGTGGGACTACTGTAAAAAGACTCTACTTGCTTGCATATCATGATACATCAGGGGGTTTCATGAATCGGATGGCCGGATCGAGGCCGGATTCGGTTTTGTCGTTTCAAGCTGTGAAACGTTGTGTGTACAGAACCGCTTAGAAAGGGATTCGAGGTCGAATGCTTGATTAAAATTTTAATGAATTTTAGCAACAGAGAGCCGTATACGATAGGTAGTACCATTGTATAGGAACCCTAGGGAAGCTTTAAGAAAATCCCAGAAGATATCTTTACTGCAGCAAAATTACCGGTAGTTGCTCCCCGGACAGCCTAATAAGTAGAGGGGACTCGCAGAATACCATGCGAGTTAATTGAGCTCTTGCATCACTCCTAGATTGTCAGGTGGGTGTTTCTAGACATTGGACACTGGAACAAAAAAAAACCTAAACCTTTACCTTTTGACACATTTGTTTCAAAGTGTTCAATCGTGTTTTACAGAAGCCCCATTATATATTCTTGGTAAACAGATTGGTATGTCAGGAGACGTGTTGGGAGGAATAATGACTGTTTGCGGTTCCATTTTTCCGATTTCGATTTCAAGATGTAATCATTTTTTCTTCGAAAGTGATTACACGTTTCCATACGTAGAAAGCAATTTCAGTGGAAATTTCGAACAGCACTTTTTAACTCTGGAACGAAGTCATTTCCATGTGAAAGGGTAGCAGTGAGACGGCGGATAAAACTTCTCATAAATAGTTTGTAGCAAAATAATTGAAATTATGACTTCTCTGAAACCTATGTATGTAAATCCGCCTGTCGGCCACAATTAACTGAATAGAAAAGAATGTCTGTCGATGGAACCACTCAATTATACAACGCTCAGAGCAAATCGTCGTGTTCAAGGACTTGGAACTGGCTTTGAGGACTAATTTGAGGTTTAGCTGACTAAACATCCAAGCTCATTAGGCTGGTGCAGCAAAACCCTTTACAAAAAACCCAACTTTCCCAAACAGCCAACGACAAGTGCATCGGGCGACTGTCCAGGAACCACAGGTAACCCTTCAAAAGCAAAAAGCTTCTCCTGAAGGCCAAGCACTCTAGGACCTTTTCAAATGAAACTTTTTGATGTTGGCTCGATTTCTCAAAAAGATGAATTTTAATTAATTCATCATGAAGTATGATTAATACTAATCGACCACGATAAATATGATTAAATAAATAAAGCCAAATAATTACCCGGACAAATAGACCCAATGACCGTGGTCAACTTTTTTACTACCACTGTTTCCGGCCGACCTACTCTGAAAGCGATGACGCCTGGCATAAGGCTGACATGGGGATGTTTGAACATGAAGGATTGAACGCCACTACAGCTGGACCACCCGTGAAACCTACAATCGGTATCCTACTCGTACAAGTTTTGGGGGAATTAGGGTACAACTCAAAGTGTAGATAAGTGTGATCAGTCCCC